GCGTTGCATGTTTGGGGCCCGACCCCCGGCCTCACCGGCTTCCTGCTGCAGCGCCTGGATTTCGCGCTCCACCGCCTCCAGCGAACCTGTAGTGGCTGCCATCCTAGCGGCGTCGGGTCGGGTCGGCTCCGGTCCCTACAACGGGCGCAACAGCTACACGTGGGCCGCGACGGCAGCGGCAGGATGCGGCTCCGGTGCTGGCGGGAGGAAAGCAGCTGGGGAGGGGCCTTGACGTAAGCACCGCTGGAGGGCGGGCCTGTGACGTGGCCACCGCTGGCCGAGCCAAAAGGAACACGCTCTGCAGCCCTTCGGAAGAGCGAGGTGGGGCTTGAGCGTGCGGGGAACGGCTGTGCGTCTTCTCGCATCCTTTGTGGCTCTCTCGGCCAACCTCTGCTGAGCGGCAGAAATAAGGCAGTCCAGACTGCCCCACCTGGACGTGCTGGGAGGGGCTCCGCGCCGGCTGGGTATTTTGGGAATATGAGAGTCCCAGACTGGAGACGGACTGCGCTTTGTCTGTCTCCGCGTCGTCAGGTCTAGCAAGAGTTCGCTTTCAGCTCATGCCTCGTTCAAGGCCCAACTGTGGAAAGAGACGTTTCTGCCCGAACGGAGGGCGCTCTGCCTAATTAGGAGTACATTACACTCCCTCTCTCTATGTGAAAAGATCAGGGAAATATGTGACCCTCGAGTTAACTCTAAACAAGATTACTCCAACCCCCTGTGGTGTTCAGTAGCACACATGGAAGGATGCCTAGGAAGCACACCAAGAACAACCCAGCTGGAGGATCAAATCCACCTGGAAAGGCAACCATAGCTTGTGTTAGCACAGCATGCTTCTAGTGGTCCTGAGAGTGCATAGTACACTGAAGCATAAGTCAACAAAATGGGCTAGATCTTTATAGCATACTAAATTGCAAAAGAAAGGAAGCTTACAAATACGCCTACTAGGACTAAGCTGGTTAAACATGTTGTGTGAACACAGTCCTAACTGGAGCTGCAGAGCTGGTATAGGAGGATCATGGAACATCTTCCTTTTGTCCCTCCCTTATTGGCTCTATGGTCACCAGGAGTCAAGTTCACCTTGAGGGAGCATCTACATTTAAACTAAATCATAAAGATTTGGTTCGGCGTACCCTGGCTCAAACAAGCCATTGTTTAATGTCATATATGGATCCACTATTAGAACAGTAGTTCTTTGCCAGCCATTTTAGACCTCCTCCTGTGGATTTTTCTCCCCCAACATGGAGCCTTCAAGGGGGCTTATTTGGCCTGCTTTGTGTGGCTAATGAAAGGGAGAGAGCAGGACCAAGGCAGTGTTCCTTGGGTAGCAAAGAAAGCATGGAAGAGGGGCCATCCTCCCACTAAACAGAATTTTCCATCTTGTACACATTTTTAGAAGGCAACATGTTGGAGTAGAGCAAAGACTTTTGGCAGTCTTCAGTTCAGACAGAATAAGCTGTAAGAGAAAGTAGGCAGCAACTCTCACTTCCCCTCACAGTTACTGTAACCAGCTGGGTCTCCTACACAGAAGTCACTGGTATCTGAAAAATCTTTTTTTTTTTCCTTCCTCTTCCCTCCCTATCTTATTTCCTTCCAGGTTGTGCCTAGTTTTTTACACCATATGCCAAGGGCAGGGATCATTTGGCTCCTATGATTCTTGAAACAGCTCCAAGAGCCTTTAGGCTGAGGAGCAAAGTGCAAATGCTTTAAAGAGTTAAGCTTAAAACAAATTACAATATCAGTTTCTGTGACCAATGACCAAAGTGGACAAGGCTCTGTAAATGGGTGGGGCTGGGATTTCCAGGGTGGTTTTGGATGGAGAAGCTGGAGCTTGCTTGCTTCCCCTGCTGAAGCTTTCTGTTGGTTCACACATCTATTTTGGTTGTTCTGCTCCAATTTGTGGGAGGTCACCCTTCCATTTTGCAGCAGTTTTTTCCCCCCATGAAATGTCAATAGTGCAGTTGCAAGGAGCTGCAGAAAAAGAAGCTTGGAAGCCACAATTTGGTCATCTGTGCTTTGAAATGAATTAGACAAATAAGTAATTTTGGGTGTAGATCTTAGCAGGATAGTGGGAAAGTGTATTTGTTTCATTGCTTTTGAAGTAAAGTGCTTGCGCATCAGCAGGGAGAATGTGGAGTTCTTGATGCTCTCTGAGTTTGGTTGTTTGCTTGTAGACATTTCATTACCTGACTAGGTAACATCATCAATACAACAGAGTGTGGGTAATGAAACGTCTGCAAGGAAACAATCAAGCTTAGAGAGCACCAAGAACTCCACAGTTCAACCATGAGCCACAGATATCCTCTTCTATCTGAAGGGGGGAATGTGTGTACTTTCTCCAATTAACACTGGCATGTTGTACCAGTAGTGTGCCCTGGCTGATGCAGTTCTGGTCTGGTCAAGATAGCTGTTTTCTAGAAATTCTGTATTCCTTCTCTCTGTCTTACTGAGCCTTAACAATGTCCTGCTCAGGTCTCAACTTTTGGGAGAATTACCATACAGGTAGTCCTTGTTGAACAACCACTCATTCAGCAACTGTTCAAAGTTACAATGGCACTGAATGAGGGCTTCTTACAACAGGTGCTCATAGTTGCAGCCATCATAGCATCCCTGCAGTCATATGATTGCAATTCAGGCACTTGGTGACTGGCTTACAATTATGACATTGCAGCATCCCGCAGTCACGTGATCGCCATTTGCAACCTTCACTGCCGGTTTCTGACAAGTAAAGTCAATGGGAAAGCTGGCAGGAGGTCACAAAGGGCAACCATGTAGCATTGCACTTAGCAATGGCACAAGGTTCACTTAACAACAGCTACTAGAATTGCCGGAATTGCCATCACTAAGTAGCACAGTCATGTGACATTATGCTTTATGACGGTGTTGCTTAGTGACAGAAATTCCCGTCCCAATTACCATTGTTAAGTGAGGATTACCTGTATTCTGGCCTCACTGCAACTTACAGTTTGTATTATGGGAATTGTGGTAGTTGCCATCTTCTATTAAATTGTTGTAGGTACAATCTGGTACAGGTCCTTGGAAGATTCAGAGTTTATCCATTGTGGAGTAGCCATTTCTTCTACCTCACTGGCCCCCCAGATCTCTTTTCCCCACGAACCCTCTCCAAAAGTCCCCATGGAAAGTCCATACGTACGTCTGTAGCTTTCTTTTCAGCTTGTTCCAATTTCTCTTGTGCATCCTTCAGAGCTTCAGAGTACTTATCCAGCTCATCTTCTGTTCCTTTCAACTTCTTCTGCAAAGCCACCAGCTCATCCTCTACCTACACAGAGATCAAAGTTAGCCATTAGCAGATACTGCTTAGTTCAGTGTTGTCCAAACTTGGCCACTTTAAGATGAGTGGACTTCAACTCCCAGAATTCCCCAGCCAACATTCCACTCATCTTAAAGTGGCCAAGTTTGGACAACACTGGTTTAGGGTTAGTATATTGTGTGAACCCCAGCCACTGTGGTTTATTGAACAATCCATAATTATCTGGTTTGCCGATGCTAACCAGCTGATGAATTCACATCATACTAAACCAAAACCAAACCACATTATACCTTAATATTATTAGTGGTTGAATTCACACATTCACACATATGCAATATGCTAATCCGAATCCAAACAAATCATATGATAGCTAAGATTCATTTGGATTTGGATTACCATATTGCACAATCCCATGCATTTACATTGTCTGTAAATTATTTTTATGGCTGAGGCTGGGTTCACCCATTGCACTAACCCATAACCTGATTTACTTGTTTGTGCCCTAGCATATTGTATGCAATCAGCTATTTTGGGTTGTAAATCATGGTGAGCCTATCTAACCATGTTTTTTTCTGTAGGCCATGGTTAAACAAACAAAAGCTTTATTAGCTCAAAGAACCCAGCTACTGATTTGGCTGCTTATAGGGTCACTTTTTCCAAGACTGAGTGGCCAAAATATGCTCCTTTCTTATCTTAATGGCACCCACTCTCCTTCTACTTTTCCATATAAATCCATATTGCTTCCTGAAAGCAGCTATTTATATCATGTTGAGCATGCTGTGGGTGTCAATTTGTCCCTCTTCTGAAGAGAATTTCTGTTATCTAGTGGCTGGCTGGCGATAATGTGATGGGCTGTTCTTTGGCTCCTGGGCGCTGGGAAAGAATGCTTTGTCCTGCTCTCTGTCTTCTGATGCACTAGGAAAATTTGACCCCTAGAGAAAGGCAAAAAAAGTACTCCTCATTGAACTTTCAGGTTTGGGGCTTGTACCATCATCAAAATGCTACTTAAAGGCCCTATATCTTAGTCAGTTTTATTCATGAGACTTCAGGTTCCAACAAAGAGAAACAGTCTTCTCTCATCAGCTGCTGTTCTAGAAATTTGTCCAAACCCTACGTTGGAGCAATGTCTTCCAAGACTGCTCCAGCAATGAAGAAGGAAGCAAAGTTGATATTGGCACCCTAAAGATATATCATGCTTTTTCAAAAGTTCTCAGACAATGAGGCATATGCTAGCTAGGTTCATATGTTCATAAGTTTATATACTAGCTAGGTTCAGATGTTCATATGTTGCTGTAAGCCATGGTTCATTATAACCAAGCTTTGTGAATAAGCCAGAATAGCTAGGATCTTGCCAAATGCTAAGTGCTGAGATGGAAAGTACCAGATACTAAGTAAATCATGGTGTTCAAACCACAATGGGTTGTAAACCAGTATCAAACAAATCACATTATCTGTTCTTGCAATAGGTGAACTTGTCTACCATACTACTCCTTTGCTAAAAACAGAAAATAGGAGGCTGAACCACATCTGAAGCCCATTCTTGGGCCCAGAGATGTCTAACTCCTACCTGGTGGTGCCTGTACCCTCATGCTGTGCATAGGAATAACTTTGTGAGATGTGGTTTACCTGTCCTGAACCCCTGTTCATGTCAGCTGTATCCATTACAACAGGAAAACATATATCAGGCCTGGATCCAGATCTAATTATGTGAGTTCATAGTTCATTTGGCTCAAGAAGCCACACAGAGCTGATAGTTGAAACAGATGAAGCAGCCATCGGAGTTGAGAAGGAAGCAACAACTTCATCCTAGCAACATTTTAGTTGTATTGTAGAGGGAAAGTAACACAGCTCCCACCAGCAATGCCAGAGCCCTGGCCCCAAAGGTCAGCATTAAACCCTGATAGTGAGCAAACTGTGCTCTCCCTCTGTTACAGAAGGCTACAATAAGCGCTTCTTAATCCTCCTTCCATTATATCCAGCCATGACCTTATCCATCCTCACATAAAACAGGAGACAGCTGTTCAGTCTCCCTTCAGTCCTTTCAGACACTTGTTTAGGGAAGCTGAGGGCAGGGTGGGTAGGGTCAGTTGGGATGTTTCAAAATAATTCCGTACTCTGTGGGAAGTATGTTATACCTAAAAATTAAAGATTGTGACAAGGTTTGTCTAATTACCAAGAATGATCTGGTGCTGATGAACATGAGGGATGACTTGATCTCAGCCTCAAACTTCCTGAGGATGCAGCAAACACACAACACATTTACCTGAGAGTAAGCCCCGCTGAATAAAGGGGAATCTGTCTTTCCTCAGCCTTCAGTCTCTAGCCTGGAATTAACACAACTGAACAAGTCCTGCTTTCAGAAAATGAAAAGGGGCTATAGGGAACACCAAGTATTCACTCCAGTAACTGCACCACAACTAATAGATACCACTATTGCAACATCCAGCACATTCAGAAAACACTGCATGAATACCCAGCAAATGATGAGAACGTTTTTCTCTGTCGCTCACATCACATGCAGCCCCTTCACCTGCTTGCACTTGTCCTCAGCCGCTTTCTTGTCTGCCTCAGCTTGTTCCGCTCGGTCAATGGCGTTCTCCTTGTCCAGTTTCAGCATCTGCATCTTCTTCTTTATGGCCTCCATCTTTGTAGTTTGAAGTAAAGGTGGCTTCAGGTGCTTTTATGTAGAAGAGAGAAAGTGAAGGCTAGCCTTCACTTGGAGGCAACGTGGAGACAAATGGGCACTTGGGCAACTGAAGATAGCTTTAAGTTCTCTGTGAGCTTTCTGGCTGTGCTACAGTCTGACTGTGTCCCTGGTGGCTCCCTGTTCTTTCACAGGCAACCTTTCTAAGAGATAAGTTGGAACTCAGTCAATCCAGGCATCTTTAGCACTCAGGGATCACCTTATTTGGGCCTTGGCTTCTTTAAAGAAAGAAAAGCACTGTTTCCATTTTTAACTTTCCAGCAGGAGCAAAAGAGAATGCAGGGGCTGGAGACAAAACTTGTCGGCCATTGTCAAGCAGTTAAAAGAAGGGCTGGTTTGGGGAGGCAACTTAACTTTCAGAAATCCGGAGTATGCACCCCAGGTCAGAATGAGACAACTAGATCCTTCTAGGATGACAACTTTGTGGTCATGACAATCTCTGGATCGAAATAAGGAGAAAGCCAGGGTGGTGTAGTGATTAAGGTGCTGGACCAGGAGCAGGGAGACCTAGTTCTGTTCTGCCTTCCGCCATGGAAGCTCATTGGGTGACTTTGGGTCAGTTACTATCTCATAGGGATTTTATTGTGAGGAAAAACAGGAGGGATCATTATGTATACCTCCTTAAATTCCTGAATAAAATAAAAGCAAGCTGACCTCAGAAGAACAATCTCTGTGTTTCCAGCTTCTTCCATGGTATTGTTGTGTTTGGGCGGCTACTTCAGGGTTTCAGTTTAGTCTATCCTCTTTTTAAAAATTCCTGACAGCCAGAGAACCCATTGTTTCCTGGGGGATACCACAGCTTAGCACAAGTCTGAAGCATCCACTGAGGGTGGGGGATGTGTGTGTTCTGACACACACAAAAAGGGATGGGGCTTGGATTACATGGTTGCAGCTGCCATTTTGACATTTTCTACTCCCTCCCCCCCCCCCATGGAGGCCCTGGCTGTAGGCCCCAGTTCCAAACTAGTGGTGTGTCAGGTCAAGGTGAAGTTGAGTTTTATTTCATTTATATTTAAATCTACTTAAAAGCAAATAAAATTGGTACAATTACTTTACAGGCCTGCACATAATAGTTTTCCCTTTGGTCACATTCAGAATAACACTTGGGCAGCAACTTTCCACAGTCTCATGTCTATATCTGGGGATTTCAAGGGGTACTGCCATCAGCCTTCCAGGAATATAATAATTACTGCCAACTAAAATTAGTTGCTAAAATTATCCATTTTCATACATTTGTGGCAGCTGCTGTCTTCAAAAGCAGCAAGAGGAAGTGGTTGATCCCTCTTAGTATCTAAGGCGGGTGACTTTTCCATGTGTGTCCTAAGATAAAGGGTCTAAATATGATGTATGATAAACAGTTGACTGTTGTTGGAATTAAAAATGTTAATCTGCAGTGTTTTTTATCTATATTAACAGGGTTATTTTTCTGTCCTTAGAAAACCATCGGAGCCTAGATTGCACTACCGTTTTTGTTGCAGTTTAGCGCTGATTCTGCTGCTTATTAGCTCCTGGCATATTTCACCATAGGCTGGGACTGCTGAGGACTATAACCCGCACATCTGCAGTCACAACTGAAAGCTATAGATTGCTTCCCCCCGTTTTGGATAAAGTTTTGTACAGAAAGGAAGTACCTATTGACTGTATCTGTAATAACTTAGAGCAGTCTTTCCCTTCTACTGATAGTGAGACTTCATCGTGGGAATTTTCATTGCATCTTGTGTGGCATATCTGTAAAATAATGGAGAATAGTTGGCAAGAATTATGAACCAGAATTAGCCCAGGAGAAATTAGTTATTCCTTAAAAAAAAACTCTTTTGAGTGTAAGCAGCCCAAATGCTTGTTGGCTTCTGAAACAGGCCAAGTTCTAAGATGTCTCCTTTCAGAAACCACTTCCTTGAAAAAATGTAGGAAAAGGTCTTCCAAGGTGTCCTTAGACAAATGGCCTATAAATGAGAAACTGGGAGTATCTTCGAACACATTTCCAGTTGCTTCAAATAGCTTTTCTGCTCAGAATTCCATCTTGCTATTATGGGCTTTCAGAAGCAGCCTTTGCCAGTCCATTGCATCTACAACAGTTGCCGCTGGGCCAGACAACAGAAGCGGAACTCTGTTTGGAAGCTCAGTGGAAATTAGATCTGTCCCATAGGAACTGGTGAGACCCTCGTCCATCGCCTTGTATGGCAAACATTGAGGGATGTAGAGCGAGACACAGAGAGAAAGCTTTGCAGGACAAGGCAGTGACAGGCAAAGACAAGAACCAGAAACAGATTAGGCAGCCTGTGAGTGAGAACAGTTGTTGATTATTACAATCCAGGTATGACTCCATCTTGTCGACCAGGCTTCTGATGTCTTTCAGATGTGTGAGGACCACAACTCCCAAGATTCCCAGCTTGCACGGCTAAAAGCCAATTCTGGGAGTTGCAGTCCTTCCCCTTCCCAAAATATCCAAAGTATCCCAGACTGTAGAATGTGAGTCTAGGCCAACTGAAAGAAAGTCAGTAGGATATTATAATGAAGATCCAGCCAATCACAGTAATTAACATTAAGAAAAAACTATTGGTGTACAGGCCTGTTTAAAATCTCAAATGTCAGTACAACATAGCCTTTCCCAACCTGTGAGTGTTCAGTCTTCAGTTTTCAGGGGTCCTGTGACAACCTGCTCTCTGGCATAGAGTTGCAAACGTAGCACATTTGAAGGGCTGCTAGTTGGTGAATGAATCTTCATGATCAAATAAACATATTGTATGATTTCTCAGGTTGGAGAAGGCCAATTATAGACATGACTCAGGGAGCGTTGTCTACTTTCCCTCAGCTTTCCTATCTGCAGCATAAGGCCAATGCAAATTTATAAAGCTTTTACTGTGGCACAGCAGTTAAAAGCCTGCAGTCTACTCAGATCTCTATGAGCAGCCAATAAGCGACCACTGAAAACTCTGGAGAGAGTCTCCTATTATTACTTTGTTAGGTTACCCTTAAGGCAATCCTGAAAACTCTGCAAGCGTACACAGCAGACCCCAGCCTCATTGTACCACATAGGATGTCAAGCATATGCTCCATCAGCAGCTCAAAAAGGTCTATTTAATTTACCTGCCCACAATATTTTAATCCCCACTTTTCAACTTGCCTTTCCTGTTGCACCAGGATCGTGACCAGAGCCTTTTGCTAAATTTGCTTTTAACCGTGTCTTTTATTGTGGTTCCCAAAGGCAAGCCTAGATCTTCCTCATCAGAACTGATCATTTCCTTATAACGCCATCATTACCAACACTCAGTCCCTAAGTTGGAATCCAAGGGAGAAAATAAACGTAGACCACATACCTCATATATTACATCTCATCTCAATGGGCAGAAATGAGGTTTCACTGTATGAGTAACTCAAATATTTAGAACAACCATCTCTGAGTCCCGTAGGCTAAATGCTGACTCAGAATTACTTCCATCTCCATCACTTTTCATTTCAATTGTATTTTTGTACGTAACCTAAAGAACAACATTTTAATTATTAATCCATTAGTAAACAATGGACAAAGAATCTGTGATTCTGGTACACCTCCACACGTGCTACACACCAGTTACAAGGCCAATAATGGATAGAGTCATTCCCCACACTGGTAGTAGTTTCGCTAATATCACAAGGATCCTCATCAAGCAACTGTTTATCTGTTGCTTGTATTCTTACAACAGAGGGAGCATGAGAGCTAAAAACATTGATAGTAATGTAACTATTACTTGAAAATGTTAACTCTTACTACAGAGGAAGCATGAGAGCTCCGCTTATTGGTAGTAATGGGAGTGCGAGTCACCAACCTGAGATTTGCTGAACTATAAACTCAGCTAAGCCAGAAAGCTCTAGTGAATAAGGTCATGCACCTCTGATTTATAATTGATTTTAATTTTATTAAATTAGTGCTTTATCAGTCAAGCAGGGTTCTACTGTGAGTTTAGTCATTGGTGGTCTGTGAATCATGGCTTAACAATATATATGAGCCAAATCATTATAGTTTATTCAAAAGCTCATGGTTGAAACAGGTAGTTTGCTTAATGCAGAGTTTAAATCCAATCAAAGCCTTCATTGAATTGTTTTGGGGGTGAAGGAGATCCTGAAATGGGAAATCATTTGTGTGTGATTACAAATTTTAAGCCCTCTTTTGCATAATACAACCCATAATTAAATAATTGAGTTTCCTACACACCCAGCCACCTTCAATTACTGCTTAAAAATTCTACTTTCACTCAAAAATCTTACTTGTTCTACCAAATTTGCTTGGCTTCTATTGGCCATGTAAGTCTGTTGTGACCACACCCCTTCTTCTGTCCAATCCCTGAAGACTATGACTCCATTGCCATTTGTTTTTGCCTGCAAAAGAAACCATACGTGGCTTGTGGCTCTTTTGGCTGGGAAATTGGGCGTGGGAATATTGATCTTGTGGAAGGCTGAATGGATGTTCTAGGAGGTTGGTATTTCCATGTCCAAACTGCCCAGTCACTGGGAGTTGGGTGGCATATAAATGTT